TTCCCGAGTCTTGCTCATTCTTGTCTAAAAAACGATCACCACGGAGTCTGGTGTGGTGGTTCGTGCTTTTAATCCTAGCACTTGGGAGGCGGAGGTAGGTAGATCTCTGTGAGATTGGGGCCAGCCAGCCTGGTCTACATAGTGAGTTCCAGGCCAGTTGGGGCTACAGGGAGACCCTGTCTCAAAAAAACAAAACAAAAGCTTACCATAGACTGCAAGGAATTGTGGATGGAATAGGGAGTTAGGAAGCCAAGTCCCTATGTTGGATTGTGACCCCTGGCTGGGTGTGCAGTGTGGACTCCGGGAGACAGAAACCGGAAGGCTGTCGAAGTCTGCATAAAGCCCTCACAGAGATTACTCTGTTGGTCAGAAATCTCAAGTCGCCTCCTGTGCTCGACATGTGGATCCTTTGATGTGCGATTGAAAAGCTGCCTGGCAGGCAGGGTAGCAGTGTCTTGGCAGAGACCTGTAGTGATCAGTCCACCCCCATCCACATATGCTGTCACCTAGAGAATTAATGTGAACAGACCTCCACCTTCAGATGTGGGTGTGATAGAGTAAACCAAGGCCCTGCCGTGTCTGTCAGAACGCCCACTTCTCCATTTGAAATAGAGCCACCCGATGGGTAAAGTGCTGGCATCACCGTGTGGCAGACATTCTCCATCTACATCATCCTGGCATGCAGCGGGAAGCAGAAGGCAGTTGGGGAGTGGAGCGTGGCTGCAGTGGGACTGTGCTGACGGCATCTGACACCACACAGGCCTCCAGGAATCCCTGAGTCAGGCCGGCGGCCTCCCTGGCCTGCCTCTGCCCTCATCCCTTCCTCTTCCTGCAGGAACACCCCTCCCCTAATGAGCGTAACCTTTAGAAACGTGTCTCCATCGATTCGGTTATTGCTGGGGCTTGATCTTTAGTAGTTACATGTATATCTGATTCTATCCACTGAGCAAAACTCTCATCAGAACATTTTTAGAGCCAGAAGGTATTCCTAAGTGCGCCACCTCTGTGCTTTTATCTTCCTTATGTTAGCAACAGGAAAATGAGAGGTTGGTTCCTGACCATTTGAAGCAAAAAATAAATCTTACAGCTCTTGTAAAAATAATTTCCCCGGGGCTGGAGAGATGGCTCAGCGGTTAAGAGCACTGACTGCTCTTGCAGAGGACCCGGGTTCGATACCCAGTACCCACATGGCGGCTAACAACCGTCCTTAACTCCAGTTCCAGAGGAATCTGAAGCCCTCTTCCGACCTCTGCGGCATTGCACGATGTGGTGCACTCACTTACATGCAGGCAATACACTCATAAAATAAAAATAAAATATTTTAAGCCGGGCGTGGTTGCGCACGCCTTTAATCCCAGCACTTGGGAGGCAGAGGCAGGCGGATCTCTGTGAGTTCAAGGCCAGCCTGGTCTACATAGTGAGTTCCAGGACAGCTGGAGCTACAGGGAGACCCTGTCTCAAAAAAGACCAAAAAAAAAAACCAAAAAACATTTTTTTTCCTTTACCAATATTCTTCACCGTTACCCCAACGTTTCTGCGGACCTGTCTTCTCCCCACGTTCGTTTGCTGTGCCATTCTCTGCTCGTCAAGTCACTGGTGTGCCTATTGATTTGGATAACCTATTTCTTTATGAGGGGAACACGAAGATGAGGCAGACTCATCGCTGCCCTTCAAAGAGTGGAGGGTGAGATGCTCCTTCTGAGCTGCACAGACAGTGCAGGGGACCGGCATGTGTATCTGGGGATGGTATGGGGAGGGAGTGACCAGAGCTCACACATGGCGAGCTGTGGTCTCACAACTGACTGTCGTTTCCCTGAATCACTGCCAAGGTCTTGTGCACAGGCCTGGGTCTGTTAGGTTTGAGGACTGCACAGCAGACGCCTGGCACTGGAGCACTTGGGCCTTCGGAACTGGGTGATACTCCCTTCAGCTGCAGTTCTGGAACGGGAAATGTAGACAATTATAGTCCCTCGTCCTGGGGGGCTGGGCCTTCATATTTATGGTTGCAAAATGCTTGGCAGTCATTTTTATTAATGGTTACCAGATGTGTCATAAGGATTAATGAACTTAAGATCTGAAATGTTTTGAGCTTCTGAAATAGAGCGATGCCTACACTGGGGCTATGAACGAGCATTGAAATGTGAACAATGGGGTTTGGAAACCAGCTGTGTGTGTGAAGGAACAAGGGCTACCGTATGTCATTTGGTGCCCTTGTGATGACTGCTCCATTCACCCCAGGCCATTGCCAAACAGGGAGGGTTCAGACCCCCACCCCTGCATGCGTGAGTACACACAGGTTTGGGGGGGTGCCGTGGTCCTCCCTTCTCCCTCTCAGCCTCTTCGGTTTCCCCACTCTGCAAGGCCAGTTGTTTCCAGGTGTTTGTCTCCTTCCTGTGTTTGAACATTCGTCTCTTTCCCTTTTCCTCTTCCTATCCAAGTTCAGGCTCTTAGGAGCTCTCCACGGAACCACTGGAGTAAGTTCTTAATTGTTCTCACTACATCTGGCATCTCCGCTTCCTGAGGATTCATCTTCTGAAGCACCTCTGATCACCACTTCTCTGAGACCCTGTGTCAGCTCTTCGTTGCCCGTGCAGTTCAGCCCTTTGCTCCTCCACACGGTCTGCCCCTTCTTTCTCAAGACCCAGAAGAAGTAGCCTTTCCTGGGGTAGAGCTGTGAGTAGGTTACACCTTACATGTTGCCGGCCATGCTGCTCAGGCCCCACACAGCCATCCATCTGTGATCCACTCCTCCCCTGAGACTCCTTCACCTTCCAGCCTTCCACTCCAGGATCCCTAGCATCATTTTCTTTTAGTTACTTGCTTACTCATCCCTTCCCGCGCTAGTCTCTGATGAGCAAAGTGCATGTGGACGTTGAGACCTGGCGAGTCTGGAGTCGGAGCCTGGCCATGGTTGGTCTGGCCCTTCTGTTGGCTTCAGCAGCTGCTTGTTAAGGACCTGCTGGATTTTTACAATCACTGAGCCATAAGGAAGAGTGAATGTGTTTCTGTGCTCGGTGTCATTTGGCACCAAGCCCACACTAGTCAGGTACCATTCCATCCTGCTGGGCGCCTACACATTGATGCTCTAGAGGGGGTGGGCTTCACCTGAATGGGACGACGCCCCACCCCCAGCCTCACCCATCTTCAACAGGACCTAACTGAAGAATGCGGTTTATAGCCTAAGCATGAGAAACTGTTCCCTGCCTTTGCCATGTCCTGAACTATTCCTGAACACCTTCCTGTGTATGGGGGGCTTTGGACTGGTGGGGGAAAAGAACAGAGGCAGCAGCCAGAGCCTTGGACTGTGAGGCGGAGTGGCAGGTGTGTGCAGAAGGCTGCTCCATGCTCTGAGTGCCAGTCAGCCCTCAGGAGCAGAGCAGGAAGGGCTGGGTGTTGGGGAAGGGTGGCTAAGGATGGACCTTTCTGTGGTCAAGGCATGGAGGAGATGGCTGGGGACTTGGAGTTGAGGTCCTCTCACTTGCGTGGCAGTAGCCTCACTGCTATAGGGCAGTTTCCCTCTTTTCTGTTCTTTCTGCCACACGTATTTTTCTTAAGCATACATGATTTCCTTGTCCCCTGCCTTTAGCCACGGGTAACTCCCCGTGTTTGTGGGGTGAAGTGTGTATTGTTCATGTACCCTGTCCCGTCACTCCTTTTCTGTCCTCTCTACAGTCTCCGCACCTTCTCTCACATCCCACCCTACCCCTCTTTGAGTAGTGGGTCTTTGGTAGCCCTTATTTTCTAAAAGCAGCTCTATGGCCTATGTGGTTATGGTGGTATCTTTGTCAGAATGCAGTGTCATGTCTACACTGGGAGAAGATGGGCAGTTGAGCTTAGGCCTGCAGGCCCTGTCTAGACAATCGGAACTGCACAGACTTCTCAGGCCTAGAATCAGGAACCAGTACCAACGGGAGGCAGGCTGCGTCATTAGGTCTCTTCTGCTTAGGTGTCTGTGGTCATGGAGGTCAGAGCAGGTGGCCTGCACCCCTGGCTCTTCCCTCTTGGGGTGAGTCCTTCAACTTCGCTGGGTCAGAACAAAGGCAGCATGGAATGGGTAAAAGCAGTGGCTGACGTTCCCATAGACTGGCCAGGGAAGGGGAAGCCTGGGCCGGGCCTTTCCTACTTGTGGAGCCCAGCAGGGCTGAGCAGGCAGAGCCAGAGAAGAGGAGACCTCGAGCCAGAGTTCGCAAGCAGCTGAGGCAGAAATGGGCTCCTGGTCTCTTCCACACTGTCGAATCAGCTGTCATCCTGTATCCTACCACTGTTTAAACCCGGCTGCTCTGAGATGAACTTGATGCCTGATTCCTCCTGCTTCTGACTTCCTCTTCTCATCCTGATTCTTGTTCCTTCAGTTTGAGTCACATGTCCCTAAGTCATGAAGTCTTCCCTGTGCTGTTGCGTCCCCCTCACTCGGGCTCCCTTCTCCCGCCTGCTCTGTGCTGGAATCTCACTACTCCTTCAGCTGTGTCTCCAGTCTGCGTTCACTGCCAGGCCAAGCGTTCTGATTTTCGGCTCTCTGCTGCTTGCTTTGCTCAGGGATCACGTGATCTCACTACCCTCTAGTTCAGTTAGATACCCAGTGCCTCTCACTGTCCTCACCGTCTGCCCGAGTTCCAGCCAGAGGAGCTGCTGTCTTCATCTCCTGGGGCATGTTGCCTCCTCCTTGGCCGTCTAGACTCGGGTTGGCTTCCAGCTTCTGTCTGGAGTCCTTCTGGACCATTCTTGTCCCAGTCACTTCTTGTAAAGTCTTGGGCTCATGGTACAACTTTGGTTAGCACATGTCTGTCACCAGAGAGCAGGAGTATGACCTTTGTGTGGTTGGGGCAGCCCTTGCTGGGCGGGCTCCTTGTATGGTGTGGAGCCCTGGCACCTACATGGCTTGTTGGTGGAGGTGTGTTGAGTTCCTGGGAGTAGTGATGGGCCCTGGTTGGCTCCTGGTGACTTTCTGCACCGCGTCCCTGTGCCCTTGGGGCCCCTCACTTATGCGCTTGTCTCCCCAGCCCGTGCCCCGAATCTTGGTGCAGCCTGCCTTCCCGACCAGGATGGAGGAGGTGAGTGACCTGGTTGGGGCTGCCCCACTTGCCCTTGGCCCTGACGTGGATGCTTCTGTCCACACCTGCGCTTTGCCCTTTGCGTTCCCACACTGGCAGTTAACCACAGGGTAGGGCACTGGCTTCTCCTGCACATGATCCTTCTTACACTTTGCTGTTTTCAACCTGTTAGTCAGATGACTGCTAAACTTTAGGCGCTTGGATGCTGATGTAGCCTGTGCTGTAATAGCACACTGCTGGGCAGAGGGGATTTCTATAAACAGAACATTCTCTTCTAAGTGTTTGCTGAATTCTCAGTTTTCTGTTTCATTCTGGTCCATGATATCAGTGTGAAAAGACTAAGGCTAAACTAGAGAAAACAGCCGCTCATGATCTCCCACTTCTGGTCTTAGGAATAGCGCGTCTGTCTTCTCTCACTCCGCCTTCATTCTCTTACACCACTGGAGATTTTATGTAGTCAAACAACAGCAAGCAAAGAAAAAAAAAAAAAAAAACAGGCCTAATGATTTGAAGGAAAATCACTCCTCCTGGTGTCCTCCATTTCTGAAAGGCCCTTTCACCCTAGTACTGTCCTGGCGTCTTCCTGCATTCCAGTGGACCATACCAGGTGCACCTCCCCTGGGAGTGCAATCAGTCCTTGTGCAGAGGCAGCTTTCAGTCCCCAGTGAAGCACCAGGAGCAGGACCTTGGCTGGCAAAGCCAGCTGTGTGCCCAGCTCCGGTGCCCATTCTGGTGGCCTTCTCAACTCTGGGCTTTCACAGCCTGGGAACTGGCTCAATGGTAGAGTAAAAATCTAGAAACTGCTGCTCTCACTTCCTCCATTTTCGTCACAGTCATCTTCTCACAGCTGACCCTAATTCCTGGCTTTTCCTTCTATCGGAAACTTGAGCAGGTCCTTCAAGTTCCCTGGGCCAATGGTAAAATTGTTTGCATGTGGTTACACTTCCTGCCCCCTTCCACCAGTGATTCAAGTGGAGCAGCGGAGCACCTATTAGTCTAGAGCTATTTCTGCAACCCCTTCATGCCTCTGTGGCCGTGTGGCTCTCACCGGTGGGTGAGTGTGGACAGGACCCTCTCAGAGCCACAGGCCACGTCGTTATCTTTTATAGCTTTATGTATTCTTCCACATGTCCAGTGATACCAAACTAAAATAGGAAGTGCTAAATAAAACGTTCAAGTCGCAGAAGAAAAATGATTGAAGGGTTGCCTAATCTTTTAGAGTATTTATGTGCTGACGGTTATTGATCTACTGGACTGAGTAAGTTTTGCAGCCAGAGGCCCATCACAGAAATGGGCTGTTAATCTCAGGAGGTGCCGTTCATTCCCTCCCCAGAAAGTGTGCCTTATGGCGAACGAAGGCCTCTGGAAACAGGAATGTAAATGACAGTTCATGGGAAAATGCATGATTTATCAAATTGCTGAGTTAAGCCAAGTAACTGTAAGAGACTTTAGATTTCGGCTGTTTCCCAGTTCAAATAAATCCTGCATTGCAAATGGAAGATGACCATTCCTGTATAGAAATAGCTTTTTCATAAATACGGGAATCATCTCTCCTTTTCTGAGCAGCCCTCCACCTCTGTCCGCCATTCCCACCTTGTCTTCCCCCAGTGTGGGAATGGGGAGGTCAGTGCTCAGGTACCTCAAAGACCCTGAAAGAAGACCTAGCTCTCACCTCACAGACACGGATGCAGCTCTCATCATCCCTCTGAGATGCTGGCTTTGTGTCTGTGTCGTCTGCCTGGTGACTCAGACAGTGACATGAAAGACCACTGCCCTGGCTCCCTCCTTGCTCAGTAGCACCCTGGCCTGTGTCCCAGGATCAGAGGCTCCCTGACCTCTGGCAATGCTCCAGCACCAGAAAAACAACCTCCTAGAGAAAGGGCCATGGCCGAAGACAGCCTGGGTCCCCTCCTTGTCCCTGACTCCCAGCCAGGATTATCCAGCCCAGCACAGTCTGGGCTCAGCTTCTCCTGGTAGGGTGGGGTGTCTGTGCTGCTGAAGCGCTGTCAGATCCTCTGGTGAGCTCATTCTTTGGGCTCTGCTGGAGAAAAGTGCACTTCTGGCTCCTTTAGTGCGGCTCTCAGTCTCCCTGTGAGGTCAGTAGTGGGCAGAGGCACCTACTTCCATGGAGCAGTTACCACCTGAACCTGGGGAGGCTGGGGATGGACAGCAAGGTTTAGTGTGAGTGGCTTCATGCTGCCTGGGAGTGAGAGGCTTGGCCTCCTGTCACACTACCTGTCCCTAGGAGGTGGGGTTGAGCATCTATTTATGGAAGAGAAGCTGCAGATGCAGCAGGGCCTGTGTGTGTTGCTCAGCGTGCTCCTTAACACAGGTGCATAGCCCAGTGCCTGCCTGGAGTTGGCTGCAGGCTGGGGCTGGGTAGAAGCAGGCTGCTGGCTGCAGGTTGCCTCAAGAGCTATGCTGGCCACAGCTAGGCTCCACTGTTGTCTAAGCCGTGGTGTTGAGCTAGCCCCAAGGGCTTCGGCTGGGCAGGAAGGCCTGTTCTACCTCTCCTCAGTGTGCCTCTTGTCCTTTTGCAGGCTCAGCGAGGCAGCCCCGGGCCTGGCGGGGCCTCGGAGTCCATGGTGCGGGTGGTGGCTCCTGCTGTAAAGATTTGTGACAAGCCTGTCAAAGTGCCTTCCCCACCAGCCACCGTGGCCGTCACTCAGCCCCTGGAAGGGCAGGATGGGCCCCCCAGCCCCCTGAGCGAAGCTTCTAGTGGCTACTTCTCCCACAGTGTCTCCACTGCCACCCTCTCAGATGCCCTCACCTTAGGCTTGGATACCACAGGCTCTGGCAGCCAGACGCCTGGGTCACCCCCTGCACAGTGTCAGGCCACCCCAGAGCCTGAGCTGGCTCTTCTTTCCTGCACACAAAGCCACCCACCAGTCCCCGAGGAGCCCCTGGTGCAGCCCGCCACACCTACTCCGGTTAAGGAGCTGGAGGCCCCGAGGCCACACTTTCTGCCTGAATCTGCATCTGTGTTGCCCACATCCCCATTCAGAATCCGGAAGGTGCGGACCTCAGAGCTGAAGTCCTTCTCGGGCATGCTAGGGGGCAGCTCCTCAGCCGAGGAGGACCTGCTGGCTGCAGAAGAGGCCGGCAACGCGGGGGGACAGGCCCTGGGGAGGCTGGACGTGACATCTGACTCTGAGGAGGCCGGCGAAGTCCCCGAGTGGCTCAAAGAGGGCGAGTATGTTGTTGTGGGCACCAACAAAACTGGCATCGTGAGGTACATAGGACCGGCTGACTTCCAAGAGGGGACATGGATTGGTGTGGAGCTGGACCTGCCCTCAGGTGAGTAGTCAGTGGGGCTGGACTGAATGTGGACTGGAAACCCAAGATGGTCACTGAGGACTGCTGTAAATCTGATAATAGTTTTAAATCTACTTTTCCTTTTGAGACCATACCTGGTCTGGTCTGGAACTCCTAGGTCCAGTGATCCTCCTCTCTCAGCAGAGACGGCAGGTGGGAGCCACCACACGCACTGCACTTTGTAAAGTTGCAGAACCATGCATCTGAGCAGCTCCCTCAGGCTGCAGTGCAGTGCTCTTGCCTGGGCTCCGGGTTTTTCCTTTCCTGCTGTCTCTGATACTCGAGGATGGCTCTGGAGGAGGTAGTGAGACTGGTGCAAGCTCTTGAGTCTCCCGCCAGACTGCAGAGCTCAGAAGTGGTCAGGAAGCCTGGGGAGACCCTCAAGAGGCACCGGTTAGACAAAGTTTTCCAGTTTTATTCTGACCGTCTTCCTCAGGCACTCATTTCTATTCCAAGCCACTTCACCTATGGACAGTGTGCAGTTCCATTGTTTTGAGCGTACTTACTGAGCTATGCCACCATTATAAAGCAATCTAAGTTATCACATGAGCCTTCCTCAGAGGACAGGCTCATGTCCACCCTCAGCTGTGCCCCTCCCCGGCCCTGGATTACTGTTTTTCTGGGTTTTGTCCTTAAGTTTACAGGAGGCTATCTTGGACTTGGATGTAAAGGGACCTCGTGCCTGTCCTCTTTCCTGGCATGTGGTCGGTGTTCCTCCGTGTGGCAGCGCCATCCACAGATCCTTCCTGTTTGTGGCTGTGTCTACTACATGGATGTCTCCACTCCTTGGGTGCTCTGAATAGCATGACTGGGTATATTCATGGAGACCCAGGTGTTCAGTCTCTCTGGCTTGGCATTGACGGTGTAAAGAGGCCAAATTGTCTCCCAAGTGGTGGGCCTGCTGTAGTGCTCAAGGGCCAGGTGTGAGAGCCCTTCCTTGCAGTGAGATTTCCTTGATCTGCGTGTGGGGAGAGGGAAGAGTATGGTGGAGCCCAGAGTCTAGATAGGGCAGGAACACCACCTGAGGTCCAGGCCACAGCATCTCTGAGCTGTGTAGCTCACCTGTGCTTGCAAACACCTCAGGTTGCAACACGGGAGAGTCTGCTCCCATGGTCACTGTCTCCGGACACATGGGCAGACCCAGCAGCTTTTGGTGGGGTGGGCGCAGAACTTTAGGAGTGGGCTTTCCTCAGAGCCCAGCGCCAGGCCCTCGCCTCCCTCAACCAGGGCAGTTCTCACAGGCTGTCCTTGGCTTGTGGGCATAGGCCAGTGATGACCCTTTTGTCTCTGAGCCACACGCTTCTCTGTGAAGTCACTGTCTTTAAAAATGATTTTGGCAGGAAAGAGCTTGAATTGGAAGGGGTTCAAGATGATTAATGTGGTGCAGGCTGAAAAAAATCTATTTCTCCCAAAGTGCGAAGGAGAACCCCAAAGAAGCCTGTGCCTGCAACTGAACTCAGGAATTAAAGGGACTTAGCAAATACCTCACCCAACAAGAAATAACTAAGCACATACTTTGTGCCCATTGCTGTGATGGAATCCAAAGACACCTGGCTAAGCAAAGTTCTGCCTGAAATACTTGTGTAGAGGAGAAAATGCAAAGCGAACACATGCATTTCAACAGGAATAAGTGCTGTGAAGAAAATAAATGTGTGGAGAGGACAGAGGAAGGTGGCTGTTGGGAATATCATAAATGGCATTCAGAGACGCAAAGGACACGAGAAGGGGAGCCAGGAAGGTCGGGTGGGGTGGAGGCCTAGGAGAAGGTCAAGGCGGAGGTCTCTGAGAATGGCCCAGCTTGCTGTGTTTGAGGGCCACCAGGAAGACTGGCTGTGATGCCAGAGGGGCTGATTGCTGGACCACTCAGGGTTGTGGCCCTGTGGACATAGTCTGATCAGATGGCATTTAGCAAGTTTGAAGAGATCACCCCTTGCAGAACAGATGTGGGGGAAGAGTGGGAACTGGGAGCTACACGATGCACAGATGTGCAGGCTGAAGAGGAGCCATGCTCAGTGGTCAGGCTCAGGGAAATGGGCAGAAGCTGTGGCCCAGGACAGTGTTGGAGGGGGACCACTAGGGAGGCGTGTCAAGGATGACACCTGCGTGTTTGCTATGAGAATACTCAAAGGGTAGTTCAGAGTTGGAAAGGCCGGAGAGCCGCATGTCAGGGAAGGATCACTGTCTCAAGTGTTCCTGAGACAGAGATGTTAGGGGCACTGAAGGACCAAGCTGGGGCCCTCCATCAGCCAAGACCGGATGAAGCAGAGCTGGAGAGAGACTGTCGGTGGGAGTTGGTGGTGGCAGTGACCAGGAAGGGCCAAGTGCACACAGGATGCTTGAGAAATGAAGAGGCGGGGCTGGGCTCTGCTGTCTAGTCCTCCAGCCCTGGCCTGCTCCTGGGAGACAGAGATGGACACAAGTGTGCAAAAGGTGACTTTTTACTACGGTCATCTCACTATCACTGCCCTGCCCACTCCCTACAGCGATCTCCTATTGCGTACCAAAGAAACTTGTCACTCTTGAGCCATCTTTAACACCTCAGTGTGACGTCGGAACACCTGATGCATGGCAGTTTTGCCATTTTCCCCTTGAAAATCTTGTGCCAATGTCACCCGCCCTTATAGGCTCATGTGTGCAATCTCGGGAAAAGGACCCGTGCCTCCAGCTCTGTCTTGGTGGTCCACACCAGGTCCTTAGCATGCCTTTGTGTCACATCTGAGGCCACAGGGTTGAGGGGCTTCTGGTGCCCACTGCTCTGGGCCTCTGCTGGGCCATCTCAATGACTAACCCTCCTGTGTTGGTGCTGGGTGGTGGAGGTGGCAGTCAGAAGAACACAGCAAGAGAAGTGACTGTATAAAAACAGGTCCCTATGATGTTTTCCATCTCCCTTGCAGGAAAGAATGATGGCTCCATTGGCGGCAAGCAATACTTCAAGTGCAACCCGGGCTATGGGCTGCTGGTGAGGCCAGGTCGGGTCCGCAGGGCCGCAGGCACTGGGCTCAGGCGCAGTGCAGGACTCAGGCCGCAGGGAGCCCCTGAGGCCCGTAGGAGCGTCACCCTCTCAGGCTCTGCCACCAACTTGGCCTCACTGACAGCTGTATTGGCCAAGGCTGACAGGAGCCACAAGAACCCTGAGAACCGGAAGTCCTGGGCCAGCTGAACCACACCTTCCCCGGTGGACGCTAACGGGACGTGGGATCCCTTGAGTCCTCTTGGCACCTGCCAGTGGGACCCCTTCCCTGGGAGCAGGACCATGAATGCTTTTTGCACGATGACAGGGCTGGTAACCAGCCTGGTTCCTCATCCTCCCTGGGATTCCAGAAACCACGTTTTACTCCTTTACTTGATTGATGGTGGCAGAGATCCCTCAGCTGTGCTCCTTGGGTAGAGGGTGGAAGGTTCTGGGAGCCCAGAGAATTGTGGGATGGTAGAGTGAGGTCCTGGGAGGCAGAGCTGGAGCCGAGGCAGCTCCCAGCCTGACTGTAACGGGGTGTCCCAGCCAGGCTTTGCTGGGCTTCCCTTTTTTTGTCCTGCTGATCTCACTAGTGTCTTAATTTAAACAGTAATCCTAACTAGTGCCTTCCTTCCCACCCACAGGGCTTCCTCCTTCTGCCTGGGGGCCAGTGCCCACATCATCCTCCATCCCTTTAACCCCTCACCAAGTGACATATTCCCTCAAGTACCTCTGGTGAGCCCTTGTGCTCAGTAGAGGTGGCAGGCAGAATCCTTCTGTCGCACGCACACATCTGGGAGGCGTCTTTGCTGGTGTCCTAGTGCCTTTCTGCTTGGAAAGTCTTTTCTGTCTGCCATTTATCCCCTTAACAGGATGTCTGGACTATATTTATTTATATTTATATTTTTTCAAAAGCTAAAGTCATTCGCGAGCCACAATCGTCTGCTCTGGTGTGGGTGCCTGGGGCCTGACTTGCACTCTGGCTGGGTGTGGCAGCCTCCTAGTCTGGTGGAAGTTGCTGTATGCAGTCAGCAGATGAAGCTCTCTGTTTATTGCTTGATTGCCGACTGTCAGGAGGAAGGCATACCCTGAGGCCTTGACAGAGTGAGCTCATGCCATACCTGCCTTATTTGATGCTGTCACATGTCGGGGAATATCTGGAAATTGTTTTTACTCCGTGACCATTTCTAGGCCCTGACCACACCTGGGCCCTGGCAGCCAGGCACGTTGCCTGTGGGGAATAGCTGGCCTCCAGTTTTCTCCCTCACATTCTGTGGCAACCATGCCCCATCCGAGGTAGAAGGTGTAGCGGAGTTGTCACCCTGTTGTCCCAGGCATCACCCTGACCTCCAGCTTGGGCCAGAGGCCCTGGCTCAGAATGTGCACCAGGGGCTTTTGGCAGCTTGTTTTAGTTCTTACTCTTAAGCTCTTAAAAACAGCACCTAGGAAGTAATTCCTTAAGTAATTCCAGACTCACTGTCTGGGTGAGGCATCCCACCTGGTGGTTCCTCAGAATACCACCGCCTCCCCTGGCCTTTGTGGCCTCTGTCCTGGTAATGCCTTGCACACACTGTCAGGCTGGCCAGTCTCACCACTGCTTGCACAGCCCTTGGCTAGAGGTTGGCAGGGGGAATGGAGGACATGTGACTCCCTAGCAGAGGCCGAGACTCTGGCCTGTGCCCCCCCCCCCCAGCCTGGAGTCGGTATCCCTCTGTTCTTCCAGCCTCAGCAGCCAGACATGGGGGTCTGGGCTGGCAGAGGACTCTTTCTAGAACAGCACAGATGTCTGTGGGTGCTGCTAGCTGGAGGCAGGTACTGATTTGCTCTCCCTTCTCATCAGGTGGCATTCTGGGGACAGGTGCTGGGGGTGTTTTGGAATTAGCGCTGTCACTTCCCCCTGGCGTCCCTGCTTCCCTTCCTGTCCAGCACAGAAGTTCTTTTGATGTGTTTTGGTGAGAAATTTTGTCCTGTTAGCATCTAGAATTCTGTGATGTACCCTTTGGTGTAGAGACCAGCTCAGTTCCCTGAGTCGGGGCCAGAGCCCCAGAGTACCTCCCTACGATGGCCATGCACTGGGCACTGGGGAGAGAAGACCTTGAAGGTCAGTGGTATGACTCTGGGAGTGAGGGACACTGCTGTGTCTGTCACTTGGAGGGATGTGAAGGAACTATTGACCTGCACAGATCTTGCTGGCTGGAGCTGGCAGCAGTGCACGCCTCCAGTGATTCAGGCCAGCTGTTTGGTGAGTCTGGGACCAACTTCTTTCCCATCAGCCCCTATGTTCCCCAGCTCCATGGACCTGCACACCCTGGCTGCAAAGCTCTGATGTCTATCAGCACCATTGTCTTGGGGGCTTCTAGGACACTCCTGACTTCAGAAGCGGTCAGCTTCACTGGCAGCTGGCCAGAGAACCTGGGCCAGGACGGCTGTGTGCATGGCCCTGAGTGGTTGGCACTGGGCCCCAGCACCTTGGCTGTGGTGTGCGAAAGTGATCTTTTTTCACAGAAAGCTCTCTGCTGCTCTGAGTATACTGGTCCTCGGTGTGGCTGGGATTTTTCTGAGAATGAAGTGTTTGGGACCTCGTGCTGGCAGTGTTGGTCCCTTGGGTGTTTTTGATGAGCTGTCCCTGTGGCTGGGTGTTTGCCCCAAGGGTAGTGGAGCTGACCTCAGGAAAGACAGCTGCAGGTGGGGTCTGGAAGGATGGAGCACACCCAGTCTTCTAGGGCTTTGCTGTCCTGCTGTTCTTACACTCTGACCTGTACTTCCCCTGTGGGCTGGACAGAGGCACTGAGCCTTGTGCTTCCCAGACCTCCTCCCCACTAGATGGAGGCAGCAATGTGAATGGGGAACCTGTAGCTTTGCTTCTCGGAAATGTGGTGATGTACAGAGAATGTGGTGACCAAGTGTCAGACAGTGGAGGGCAGGTAGTGGGTATGTAGCCAGTTGCCAGGTGCCCAAGCCTAACCATAGAGCAGGAGGGCAGAGGAGCAGTGATTGTGGACCGTGTTCAGTGATGTGGCCCTGAGGTATAAAGGTTTAGGAAGTGTTCCCGTGTTTCCTGTCCTCCTGGTAGCTCTCCTTGTGTCTCAGAGGTGCCCTAAGAAGCAGACAAGTAGCTCCTGTTTTGTTTTCTTTTTTCGCATAGACTTGCCCTGCCTGCTGAGGCTGCCTGTGCTGAGTGCCTCACATGGAGGGCGGTCCGAAGCTTCCTTGAGCCCTGGGCCATCTTGAGACCAAGACCCCAGGGCCTTCTGAAGTGCCTTCCATGGGGCCAGTGTCCAGCCCAGCCTGTGCTTCCAGCCCTAGATACTACACAAAGCATCTTTTTATGTCTGTGGTGCCTTCCTGGTGGGCTGTGGATCCCCATGGTATTGGGAGAGGCTGGAAACAGTGTGTGTGGGTGGACTGTGTAAATATGAGTTCATGTGAAGTGATAGTGATTCCAGGATTATAGTGATTTGGTACATATTAAATGGGAGATAAAAAAAATCCAAAGACTCTAATGAATTGTAAAGACTGATGGTTTGCATTGTATGATGAACTAAACTACTGTAATTTTGTACCATAAATGCCTTTTTGTCAAGTGACCAACAGCCTCTAAATAAAACCAGATGATTTCTTGCTTAGGCCTGTGGTCGGTCTTACCATTTTTCCCTCCCCGCACCCAGACACAGGCTTGGGCTCTCTGTGGACTGTCCCTTGGTGGTGGGCTCGGTCTCAGTGGTGGTCCTAGGGATTTTCAAGATGGCTATCAGAAGTCCAGAGAGCAGCAGGCCCATGGATTTGCACTAAAGACCTGGGGAGGGAGGCACCTTGGCCTGTCTCTAATCTTATTACAGCCTCTTATAGAAGCCAGGAGCCAGCAGAAAGTTCTGGGGAATGTAGTAGATGCCAGGTAATGGGGGCTTTGGGGTTGGCCAGGTGACAGGTGGCCCAGGGAAAGGGAGTCTTCAGGAAGGTCCACTATCTGCCACGGTCCATGACACAGGCCCTATTAGGGACTCAATTACAGAGCAAAGACTTCTAATTCTGACAAAATAGATAAACCCTTGAAGATTCTAGAAGAAGGTATTTTGGAATGGGGAAAATTATGGCCCTGGCTAGGTGGCAGATCTGGGTCAAGTCCCTGTGGGCTATGGAACCTGATGCTGGGCCTGCCAGCCAGCAAGGCCACCTTTCTTCAGATATCTGCCAGCCGTAGGCCTAGTGCAGGGTTTGAGCTGCTGGCGGGACTAGGCCTGTCATTCCCACTCAGAATCCCCCAGCCACAGCACTGTGCCATTTCCAGGACACAGGACTTGCTCATGGACCTCTTGGGAGAAAGCTGTTTCTCTCCCTGCGCCAATGCGTAGCCCTTGTTTTACGAACAAAACAGTTTGTGAATGCAGGGTCAGAGCCACCCGGAAGCCCGAGGGGAGGTGGCTGTCAGCCATAGGCAGTGGTCTGAACAGGACTTGTTTGTATTCACGAGTGCAGCAAAGTTGCTCTCAGAGATAAGCCTTGCCAAGAAGGGACAGAAATGTGGCAGCCAGGAGTAGCCCTGTGTGGGATGAGGCGGGAATCTGAACAGAACCCTTGCAGCTCTGATACATCTTCTCAGGCTGCTGCTGTCTCACAGCTGTGAGATGTCCGCACCAAGCTCTGGAATGAGCTCTAGTGGATATCCTGATTGGTCTACTCATTGGCTTACTGAATTGTTCGAGGAACACTTGACCTATCCCAAGCCTGGGGTGCAGCTGGCGCCAGGGCCTTGGGGTGAGGAAGCCACCCCAAGACGCACACTGAGGGGGTACTCTGGGGAGGTGCTTGGCCAATGCTGTGTGGCTTAAGTTGAAGTAGGTTGGGGCCAACGGTGCAAGAGCATGAAGTGGGAACAGTCCGTTTGGCCTCTGCCCTCCCGTGTGCTGTGCTGCCAACTTCCCCCTGGCAACCGCAGCAGGGTTTGGGTAGCTTCAGAAGTTTGCTTTCCAATTATGTACAGAAGGGGAAAAGTCTTTCCTTCTTGGGGTCTCTCTTGGAGGGAAAGGTCAGTGATGAGTATATGGAGAGGGAAGGCTCAGCTCGTGCTCCTCCCCTCTGTTAAATCTCCTGCTGACCTCAGGAAACTGCAGGGCAGCCAGAGAACAAAGGCTCCAAAAAGTGCAGCCTTGGGAGGTGGCGCCTTTAAGAGGCTGAGGGTGCTGCTGGAGCAGGAAATGGAGTGTGGTGATGAAGAGGGAATGACAGCATCATAAAGAAACCTGGTTGGGATCCTGGGGCTGGAGACAGTGCTGGGTGTCTTAGGGGGTGCTACCCCCCCCCCCCCCGAAAC